TCTACAGACTGTCGGTTCACACCCCATCACAATCCAGCAAAACATCCACGAAACAAAGAAAGGTCTGTCACAGCCAAAAAATACACTCCAGACACGCCACTGGCACTAAGGGCAAATATATATATATATATATAAATTTTATAAAAACTTTTGTGAGTTAAAAAAATATGAAACGATTTAAATTTTATAAGTTTTTTGTACAAGTAGATAAAAATCTGACATCTTGTGAACCGATATGAATTTGTTCTTTGGTAGGCTGAACGAACTCGTTGTGCACTACATCAAGCTACATAATAATTTAGGATGTCGAACGCAGGGAGCCACAAAAAATCATTCATCCTGCTCTCACATGCCTACTTTAACTTATGTGTGTGCTTTCCCATTTCTGCTTTCACCCGCGTACTCTCACCGGCGTGTTGCTCTCATTTGCATTCTGCTCTCATGTGAGCGTGTTGGTCTCATATGCATACTTTATTCTGTCGAGCACCATGCGCATGGTTTGTTTATTAACATGCTTAACACTCCAGTCCTTAAATAATCACTGTCAATATATAACAATGATAAATTAAATAAGTAATACGAACTTCGGCAAAGCTAATCGAGATAAAGTTGTAGATGAACAGTCTATTGAAGGAACAAACCCATGATTAAAAAACATGTGACTAACCTGCGAAACTGCTTCAATAATTTTATATTTTCATTGTCCAAATAGTATGTAAAACTCTCAAATTTGTTGATTGTTTAACACAATCGGTTATCGTCAATACTAATGTGGTAAATCATGCTGCCTAGCAAAATCAAGCATCTAAACTGTAAAATTTTTGTATCAAAATGCTCGCCATTTCTCCTAACCTCTATCTGCTGTTTAAATCAATTCTGATTATGAACTAAAAAAAAAAAATAAGTTAACGAAATTGGTCCGGTTGCTGACCAATTGAAATTTTGTGTGTCCAAATCGGGTCGCATCTAATTAAAATTACATAATAAAAGAAGTATATCTCAACAAATACCACCAACCTACTACCTAAGGCATATGTACATACGAACTTCTGATGTTCGGTCCCATGTCGTGAATCGACTCCTTAGAGTAGTTACACAAGTGCCCGACCCAGTCGAGAGGAATCAATCTGCGACTCGAGGTAAATTAAGTATATAAGTGGAAATATAATTAGAGAAAAAAATGATGAGGATTGATAGTTGGACATGTATGAATGTTGCTGACCAAATGTTTTGTATGACCACGTAATCCTCATAAACTTTTTACGTCAAACACAAAACATGAAAGGGCATGAGACTGCACATGAGACCGCTAAAAGTCGCGAAGTAAGACCCTCAAAATATTTTTCATCGGATACTTAAATATCATATGCGGCCTCACAACCTACAACTTTGTAAGCTATAAGGGGTCGTATGTTCATGGATATCGCATAATACGTTGCCATAACAAACCCCCCAAAACTTTGCATATTTGAAAGTCATGATATCGCTTATGCTTCGTCCTTTATGTATAAAGATATGCGAGATCCGTAACTCACTATTTATACACTAGTTAAGTTATAGGATGAGAAAAATTGACACTTAAATGGAAGCGACAAACAACGAAAGTCTATTGGATTGAGTTGACTTGATGCGCACATCGACCTCGAAGATCAGCGCCCCAATGACCTAATGCATTTACTGGTCTGTTTTAGGTGTTCTACCGTGTGTATTATTATGCTTCAGCTGACGAGAAACTCGTTCGTTTGACTCATCTCTGGTATGTGAATTAAATGCCACCACACATGGGTCAGTAGCTCAATCGGGATACGCGTATGTAAGGACGGTAATAACTCATATGGTAGAGGTAAGTGGTGAGTTTCAGGCGGGCATAATGGGACTTACCCAGAATGGACCATATTGTCTCCAATCCATGTTGTATGTAATTGGTGCCTGCTCAGCAACAACAGGTTGCGCTCCCTCTTTGTCGCACAATGGTCAGTGGATATGCGAACCTTCAACATACAACATCAGAGTGAACCTCCTGACTAAGCAATGTGCCAGTCTCTCCTACAACCATTTCGGTCGTGTGGTCCCGCCCACTGTTGATTTTCCCCACAGTGTGTGGGCCTGTGGCACATCTCCCTGACCCATCCCTGTATCACCTGGAATCACCTGTGGTTATTCCATTTTCATAACTTTATTGGATTTGTGGTGTGGATGGGATAGCTTGTGTGTTACAGCCCGCTAGTGTCTTCTTTCCACCCCGCTCCCCCCCTTCTTCCCACCCTTTACCCCCCCCCCTCTCCACCCTACCCCTTCGTACACCTACCACCCACCCTCCCAGAGACCCAGTCCTGGATTCGCGAGTTCTGTGCTTCGTCACATTGCACCCTCAAAAGTGCTCTCACGAGCCCTAAATTCGAGAGGGCAATGTGGCGAAGAGTGCTCTCGAACGGGTTTTCTCGACGTTCGAGATTCCAGAGTCTTGGGGATGTGGCGAGGCCCTAAAACAATTTGTTATGTGTTATGGTTATGACTGGGCACTGGCCAGTAGGGGCTCTGTTCTTTTTGCGTTCACTGCTCCGGGATTGCCACATGGCTCTGTTCTTTTTCTGTGTGCACTGCTTCCAAATTGCCACACACAAGGTTGCTCGTGCGATCTAGGCGAGAGGAAGTGATGACGATTTTGAGAACCAAAGACATTTGCAGGACGCGCGCATAACCGGGAAGCTCGGATATCCAGTGCTGAGAACAGCTCGCTTCTGATTGTACGACTTCGTTTGTGTGTGTGTGCGTGTGTGTGTGTGTGTGTGTGTGTGTGTGTGTGTGTGTGTGTGTGTGAGAGAGAGAGAGAGAGAGAGAGAGAGAGAGAGAGANGTGTGTGTGTGTGTGTGTGTGTGTGTGTGTGTGTGTGTGTGTGTGAGAGAGAGAGAGAGAGAGAGAGAGAGAGAGAGAGAGAGAGAGATGGGTGTGGAAGAGAACACGCAATGGGAGGATCTGAGGCGAGAGGCACGGAAACTGGAAGGGGATCTGGACGTGAAGCTGTCTTCATATTCCAAGCTTGGAAGCATGCTTTCCCATGGAGGTACGCATCGGTAAACAGCCAACAGGACAAGTTTTTCTCTTTTTGTCTCTGCCATCTCCTATTTCGGCGCCTCGTCCCTGTCACAATCACTGCTCATTAGCCTCCTCTCTCTCTCTCTTTCTCTGTGTGACGCTACAATATTCCAATTTTCTTCTCCCTCTCTTTTCCACAAGACTCCATCCCTTCTCGCCATCTCAATGTATCCTCCGGCTTGTATCTCTCCACGCCTTCATCACCCAAATATCTATCCGTTCAACCCCTTCACCGTCTCTGTCATATGGTCACTTTGTTACAGAGCCGACCTATACTCGTGCTCATCGCAGATCGTCAACGGATCAAATGTTCGACAGATCAACGGTTCTACAGATCGACAGTTCTGCAGATCAACGGTTCAGATCAACAGTTCAGATCAACAGTTCGAATTCAGTTCGGGATTAGGTCACCTTGTTAGATAGCCGACCATGTCATCATGAGGCACAACAACAGATGACGGACCCGCGCCAGGAATCGAAAACAAAAGAGATAACCAAGCAATATATACCCAAGTGGCATCATCAAATTCCGGCCTAAAAAAATGTCTGTGCAGTTGTCTATCATGTTTGGTAAGCACAACTGCGCGACAGCCACGTGTCGCTGGGCCGCACCTCGAACCCCTGGCTCCCTTTATAGGATGTCTACTCCACCGGTCCTCTCTCTCTCTCTCTCTCTCTCCTCGATCACCCTCAACCTGCCCTCCGCCTGTCGTCAAGAGGATTATACACGCGAGTTCAGACCCTGCTGAACCGCTGACTTGCGCTCCCTTCAAATCGCTCAAATTCGTATTTGGCTTCGTCTGGGGGCAGGCAGCAAGCTCAGCACCGGCAGCAGGAACAGACTTGTGAGGAGGAGGAGGAGGAGGAGGAGGAGGAGGAGGAGGTAGAAGTAGTAGCTCAGCGCAGAGTCGCCGCCCACTAATTTGACTTGAGCTATGCTGAGGAACACATCAAGGTGAGAGAAGTAGACTGTACAAATTGTGGGAGATGTACGTGGGAGAGGGAGGAAGAAGATGAGCTGGACTGTTCAAATTGGCGGAGGTGTACGTGGGAGAGGGAGGAAGAAGATGAGCTTGCCGCCGTCCTTCGTTTTCCTCGAAAACAGCTGCTGCTGTAGGAGGAGCCCTCACCCGACGGGATCGAAATGCGCAAGTCCGGAGAGAGCCAGGCTATTCGCTTCCCCTCCAAAAAAACCAACGGTAGAAGACGCGGGGGCCATTGCACTTTACCTCCTCGGCCATCGATCTCTTCTGTGACTATTTGGCGCTCGAGCAAAGCGCGCCGCGCGTCTTCCCCCTTACCTTCCTAATAAGGTAAGGTTGAGGGTATAGCTCCCACCTTCACCACCAATCACCTCTCTCTCTCTCTCTCTCTCTCAATTGACTGAGAGGTAGCCGCCCTTCGCTCGCTACGTTCCATTCTATTTCTTCTGAGCAAAAGTCCCGGGTCTCCATCTCATTCCCCGTTCCCGCGCCCGAGTCAAGAATCAAATCATCAGGGCCTAAAGTCCCGCCCAGCGTTCATTCATGCCTTGTGTCTTTCTTTCATACTCCTTTGGGCATATCTCAGGGAACCCGTTAAGCCCTCACTTTGATGTACTTGGCCGCAATTTCGGCGTTTTGTGAATCGAAATCATCAGGGAACCCGCCAAGCCCCGACTATTCATTCATTGATTGCATTCTATTCATCGATTCATTCATTGATTGCATCCTATTCATCGATTCATTCATTGATTGGATTCTATTCATCGATTCATTCATTGATTGCTTCATGGAGTGATTGAATTTGATTCATTGATTGATTCGTTGGCCGTGCTCAACTGCTGAACATTCGACATGTACCTGAACTTCATGGATTGATTGCTCCGGACACTTTTAGAAAATGTTTGTGCAGTGGTTCGAGGCCCATTGATTGATGGACTGCGTGCTCAAGTAGTTGAGTTGTTGAGTGGTTGGAATGATGGTTTGATTGATTGATTGATTGCTTGATTCGTTTTTTGACGAGTAATCAATCACAATGACCTAATTGGATTCTTCACTGATTCCTTTGATGATGCTGTACAGGCAGCAGCCGCGACAACAGTCAGCACACACCGTTTTCTTCATTTTTTTTTTTTTTCCATGCATACCGTAAAAACGGTAGTTTGAAGGGAATGGTAGTCGATGCGATGATAGACCAACAAAACTCTTTTTCATCTTCTAGACAGACGGACAGATATTTTGCGCTCTGATAATTTTGTGACAATATATATAATCCGTCCTATAAAATGCGTCCTATGGAGATTGGGTCTCTACTACTTGATGCAGATTTTTACCCAACTGAGGCTTCAGTCGAAACCTAATCTGTGACCCACATATGCACTTAGGTCTGTCCTATAAAATACTGTAGTACCGGCCACTCGACATGCTGCACATCCACAGCTTCCAATCTGCAATTGTGGAGGGACCCAGATGAATCTGCAATTGTGGAGGGACCCACATCTGCAATTGTGGGTTTGTCTCCTTGCTTTTTTTTTTGGTGTAAAACTAACTTTCGTACGTTATTATTCCCTTGGGCATTTAGGGGCATACTCGCACGAGGACTTTTTCTAAATGCATCTGACTGCAATTGTGGAGGGGGACCCAGATGAATGTGACTGCAATTGCGTCCACAGCTTCGAACAAAAAGGTCCTAGTGTGAGTGTGGCCTAACTTCTGCGTTCCTGGCCGCAATTTCGGCGTTTTTTACCCGAAACCGTCAGGGCTTACTACCGTCTTGCCCCGAACACAACGCACCATTATTTTGGCCGCATCCGGCCGGAGATATAGCCTGTATACATTCATTTATAGGGTGCGTTATGTTCGGGGGAAGACGGTAGGTAGGTTCCCACCGAAAACGTTTTTTACCCGAAGCGTTTTCGGTTTCAAAAAAAACGCTGAAACCGTCAGGGCTTACTAGGTAGGTTCCCACCGAAAACGTTTTTTACTAGGAACGCGTCATAGGTAAATGTCCAAAGGGTTATTACTGCTACCGTCAGGGTGCCGTAAATACTGTAGTAAATATCCAAAGGGGCCAGGGGCTAACCTAGCTGTGATCTAACTTCAAAAGCATGAACCTGTTCATATACTACGGACCTATGCATTGAGACCACAAACATGCCCAAAGGGTGCATGTTTTTTTAGTATGGACCACATTGCTCTCCCCCCCGCCCCCTCTCCGACTTCTTCTATCCAATGTGGCTCTTCATGAGCTCGAGAAATTTGCTATGCGACTGAAGAGCATTGCCGATAGAGGACCTCGCCGCTCTACATGGTTTTTTTTTTTTTTTTTTTTTTTTGTTGTTGCTCTACTTGTTTTTGAAAGAAGACTCTATACAAATTGTTATTTTTATCTATCATAAATAAAGCGAATAAATTGTTATTTTTATCTATCATAAAGCGAATATGAGAGTGTCAGCCTTGATGGAATCCAAACGTTCGATTTTATGGTCGCATCTGCAAACGAGAATTTGGAACCCAGATACTTTGCTCCCCTTCATTGCGGTTGTCCGAGGCCAAATGTACAAAATGAGAATGAATCTTCCGCTGGAGCATGGGAAGATTCACCGCCTTTTTTTTTTGGTGTTTTTTTGTGCATTTGGTGAGTAGTGGGGCGAGCCCCAGAGGGTCGCGTCTTTCCAGAGGGCGAAAAAGAAAGAGCTCACTGCGAACATGCTCGACCGTTGGGCGGCGGCTGCTGAAACTGGTGACTATGGATGAACATCTAATGGAAATGTGACCAAGTTCAGTCATGCGCTGTTTGTTTCAGCTTGTGTTTTTCAACATCCGACCCAGCCAAGAAGGGTGTCCCCAAGCCTTTCCTTCCATAATACCTGTACCGAGCCTGTTTGAGTTCCCAGCCTGTACCGAGCCTTTTTGAGCCTATTTGTTCAGGGCCTGTTCGAGTCTCAAACCTTGCCTTCCACACCTGTCCAAACCGGTTCCAAACCTGTTCCGAGCCTGTTTTTTGCGTTTCTAACCTTGGCTTCCGAACCTGTTTGCGTTTTTAACCTTGCCTTCCGGAACGTGTTTGCGTTTCTATCCTTGCCTTCCGGAACCTGTTTGCGTTTCTATCCTTGCCTTCCGGACCTGTTTGGGTTTCTAACCTTTGCCTTACGGACCTGTGTCTCACGCTGTTTGAGTTCCTGTCCTTGCCTTCCGAACCTGTTCCGAGCCTGTTTGCATATCTAACCTTGGCTTCGGAACCTGTTTGCATATCTAACCTTGCCTTCCGTAACCTGTKTTACACTCTGTTTGAGTCGCTGTTTGAGTTCCTGTCCTTGCCGTCCGAACCTGTTCCGAGCCTGTTTGCATATCTAACCTTGGCTTCGGAACCTGTTTGCATATCCAACCTTGCCTTCCGTAACCTGTCTTACACTCTGTTTGAGTTTCTGCCCTTGCCTTCCGACCCTGTTTGGACCCTGTTTGCGTTTCTAACCTCGCCTTTCGAACCTGTTTGCGTCTCTATCCTTGCCTTACTCACCTGTTTGCGTCTCTAACCTTGCCTTACTCACCCCTGTCTCAGTCTATTTGCGTCTCTGCCCTTGCCTTCCGAACCTGTTCCGAGTCTGTTTCCGTTTCTAACCTTGGCTTCCGAACCTGTTTGCGTTTTTAACCTTGCCTTCCTGAACCTGTTTGCGTTTCTTGTCCCCCCCTCGACATCTCAGCATGCCCTTGGCCATGGCGATGAACATCTCAAAATTTGAGAGATTTTGAAATTACACGTCAAAATTTGAAATTTCTAACCGACCATGCCATCATGAGGCACAACAACAGATGACGCACCCGCGCCAGGAGTCGAAACATAAATGATTACCAAGCAATCTATATGTCGGTGGTTTCTTCCCTAGTGCCATCATCGAATTGGCGGGATCAAAAAGTTGTGCGTGCAGTTATCTATCATGCTTGGTAAGCACAAATCCTCGACTGGCACGTGTCGCCATGCCAGCGG